GAGAGACTTTACATACATTCTTCCATTTCCCTTTCCTTTTTCTTCCATCTGATCTGCAAATCAGAATAAAGAAGGAAATGGAGTTCTCTTTTCTGCAGGTTTCCATCGCTATAATGGCCTTAGCCGCCGTTGCCCAGACATCCCTCGCCCTCCCTGATACCAACGGTGAGTCTAATTCCGTTAAAGACTTTCTTGCCGGACATAACGCGGCCCGGGCATCCGTTGGCGTTCCGCCTCTTAGGTGGAACGCCACCGTGGCGGCCTACGCGGAAGCCTATGCGGCCCAGAGGTCCACCGACTGTGCGCTAGAGCACTCGGGAGGGCCGTACGGGGAAAACATCGCCGAGGGCTACGGCGACTTGTCGGCGGCGGATTCCGTGAAGATGTGGGCCGGTGAGAAGCCGAACTACGACTACGCGTCGAATTCTTGCGTCGGCGGCGAGTGCTTGCATTATACGCAGGTGGTTTGGCGCAACACCGTGAGTATTGGCTGTGCTAGGGCTGCATGCCAGAATGGTTGGATGTTCGTCACATGCAACTATTATCCTCCCGGTAACTATGAAGGTGAACGTCCTTATTAAGGATAATTCACCTATTTTTCTCAATTGGATTAGTCTCGTCGAAGGTAGTATATGTTAAAAAAAAAATACAATACAAAAATCATATGTTGTCATGTAATAATAATATTGGTTCATGCATGGATGTTAGTTCAATCCAAATTTCAACTTTTTCATTCTTTTCCTTGATAACTACATGATATTTTTGTGTGTGTATATCTCTCGGTATCTCACTATTCATTTGAGGGACGAGAGAAATTTACAGTCCATATTCGATGGGTAATTGACTTTGCTTTATAATTCTAACAACAACGTATTACAATGATCTAAACTAGTTTAGGTTGTTTATAGTTGATGAATCGGTTGAACCCAAAAAGGACAATAGGTTCCTCCTCAGCTCCTCTGAGAGTTGAACTTGTAACATTGTGATTACTAAGTTAACAGTTGTACCTAGCCAATTTGACCGGGATAGCCCTTTTGGTATCTCACTATTGCGACATATTCAATTCGCATTACACCTACAAAAGTGACTCTTATCCGAAAATAATTTGAATCAAAATTATTTAATATGAAATATAGAATTAACTGCATGGATTATGGCAATTAAGATTTGGGTAACTAACTTTTGTTATTTTGATCTGTATAATTGTTTGCTTGGTTGGGCAGTTAGGCAATGCGTAATAATTGAAGGGTAAATGCTTTAGAAAATGGTTGGTTTGTTTATATACAAGAATAATCAAAGTGATAGATAGCTTAACATTATAATACTTAGGTAGCTAGAAGTAGCCCAGACTATATATATACACACGAGAATAATCAAATTGCGACACCTTTTTTCGGTTGCCTTATTTCGCGATAGACGACGAAATGAATTCCGTCACAAAACATAATTCGCGACGAAATTTTGTCCATTCACAACAAAAAAAATTTGTCGCAATTTTTCTTGTAGTGATAGTAGTACGTCATGCTCTAGCTAGAGTACGTTCATTTCAGTGATCCTATTGCTTCACATTCACAAGTCACAACAATTTCCTTTTGGACTTCAATTCTATTCGCAGAGATTGACAAATTAAAGTTGTAAAAGGTTGTCCTTTTTTTCTTTTTTCTTTTTTTAATAGTTTAATTTTTTTATTTAAAATAGTTTAATTCTTAAAGGTGAGATCTAAATCCTTTACTTGAGATCTCACCTTTAAGAAAATAATAATAATAATAATAATAAAGTTTGAATTCAAAACTTTTTTAAAGGTTATAATACTAAACGAGCTTGACTGCTACTCTGATCCTATGAAGGAACTAGTTTAACCTTAGCAAATTATAGATGATGCCATTATTAGAGAGGAGGCTTGGAGGGTCAAATCCTACATTCAGTCAACGAAACATAACGTTGATCGTTACATGCACAAATATAAAAAAATAATTAAAAAAAATAAAGTTACACGTTTTCATTAGGGAAAATGGCACTTTTCTCCCCTATGTTATATACTTATAGCATTTTTTCCCCCTCAATTATTTAAGTGGCTCTTTTTCCCCCTGAAATGTTAAATGGACATATTTACCCTTAAAATAAATATTTCATTTATTTTTATTCTCCAATAAATTATTACTATAATTTGGTTCAAACCAGATACTATAGTAACCAAACCAAAATATTCCAATTACAATTTATAATCAAAACGCGATATTTAGAGTTTATTAAAATCGCGAACTGGAATGGCCGGTTCATGTTCCGAACTGAAAAAATAAAATACATTTATTGTTGAATTTAAACTATTTTAAAATAAAGACGGTTCAAAATCGCGAACGGGATCCGGAACCGCCGGTTCATGATCCAGTTTTTTTTTATTCTTAAATTTAATAAATTGAAATCCAAATATTGGGTTCTAGATCTGAATCATAACTGAAATTTTTAATTCGATTGCTATAGTGTCTGGTTCAGTTCGAACCGAACCGTGGTAATCGCTACATATACGCAATAATTTGTTGGAGAAGTAAAATAAATAAAATGTTTACTTTAAGGGTAGAAATGTCAATTTAATATATTAGGGGGGAAAACCACCACTTTTAAAATAATTGAGGGGGCTAATGTGCTTACATAAATAATTGAGGGGGAAAAAGTGCTATAAGTATATAACATAGGGGGAAAAAGTGCCATTTTCCCTTTTCATTATTAGAAATGTAACTTTTGATATATTGGTAAGTATTGTATTGTTATGGGAAAATGGCACTTTTTCCCCCTAAGTTATATAATTATAGCCATTTTTCCCCCTCAATTATTTAGGTAAGCACATTAGCCCCCTCAATTATTCTAAAAGTGGTGATTTTTCCCCCCTGATATATTAAATTGACATTTCTACCCTTAAAGTAAACATTTTATTTATTTTACTTCTCCAACAAATTATCGCGTATACGTAGGGATGACCACGGTTCAGATCAAACTGAACCGGACACTATAGCAATTGAATTAAAAGTTTCCGGTTATGATTCAGATCTAGAACCTAATATTTGGATTTCAATTTATTAAAATTATGAATAAAAAAAATTGGATCTTGAACCGTGAATCGGCGGTTCTGGATCCGGTTCGCAATTTTGAACCGTCTTTATTTTAAAATTTTATTTTTTATTTTAAATAGTCTAAATTCAACAATAAATATATTTTATTTTTTCAGTTCGGTACATGAATCGTCCGTTCCGGTTCGCAATTTTAATAAACTCTAAATATCGAGTTTCGATTCTAAATTGTAATTGGAATATTTCGGTTTGATTGCTATAGTGTTTGTTTGGTTTGAACCAAATTATTGTCATAATTTGTTGGAGAAGGAAAATAAATGAAATATTTATTTTAAGGGTAAATATGTCCATTTAACATTTCAGGGGGAAAAACAGCCACTTGAATAATTCAGGGGGAGAAAATGCTATAAGTATATAACTTAGGGGGAAGAAGTGCCATTTTCCCTATTGTTATTATACACAAGTATAAAGAAATATTTTATACTATAATTTGGTGAAAAAAAAATTGAGGTAAAAATTATATTATAGTTACATTTTATCTTTGCACAATTTATTGTTCCCAGTCTTTGCACAATTTATGGCTTAATTAATGGCGGTTCAGGCTGGTGTTTTCGAACATTGATGGCTTAAATTATAGATAACTTTTAGGAATGGCTTAATTGATGGCTTAAATTTTTCTAGACTTTTAAATAATTTAAGTTGGATTTTCTTTTATATCAAAGTTCATAAGGAGTACCTTATTCTTCTTTTGTTTGGGTACTATGTTGAGAATATAGCATGTTGTCACCATAGCTTCTCTGATCCCTTAAAACCTTCATTCAGACTGGAAACTGATAATATATAGTTTACCATTTCCTTGAGTATTATGTTTGTTTTTCTTTTTGTTACATCATTTTATTGTGGTGTATAAAGAGCTGTGATATCGTGAATAACACCCACGAATTGGAAAAACAATGAGTCATAATATTCACTACCTTTGTCAGTGCGTAATAATTTTACTAACAGATTAGTTCGCAGTTCAACCTCTAATTTAAATATTTTAAATTTTTCTAAAGCTTCATCCTTAGAATGTAGGAGGTACATATAGCAATATCTTGAAAAGTCATTTTAAGTACATCTTGAAAAGTCATTAATAAACGTGAAAATATATTTTTTATTCCCAAGGATGGGGTGCTACAAAAATCACTCAGGGCACTAATCCACTATGCACCAATTCAAGTAATATTGAACTTCTTATAACACTAGGGGATGGATTCCTAGTAATTTTATTTAACATGCAAGTAATGCATTTTCGCATATTTAAATCAAAGGACGGAATTAAGTCATCATATCCTTAGCCATATCATATAATCGCATTTAATTTACGTGACATAAACAATAATGCCATAAAGAAAATGAACACACTATATAAACAGAACAATCAATTTTATTAATATTTAATTTAAATAAACATGTTGTTACATAGGAAACCTTGTCCACCAAATATACCGGTCTTAGACAAAATAAATTTATCGGCTTCAAAAACTAATTTGAAGCTTTGTTGAGTACAATGTTAGAAACTAAATTTTTCTAACATCCGGAGCGTAAAAGACCTTTGTCAACGTCAACTTCTTTTCTGAAGTGAGCAACAATTCAACTTGTCCAATGCCTTTAATCTTTACCATGGAATAGTTTCTCATGTACATGCTTGGACCATCTTTCAACTCTTTATAAATTTTATAAAGATTCACATCCTTGTAGAGTTGTAGATGATTGCCCCGGTGTCAACTCACCACGAATCATCAGTCTACACGAGACAAATTTCAAATATCATAGATCATAGCAATGAAGTTTTCGATATTATCAGAAATGAGATTGAAAATAAATCTCACCTTGTTTCTCATGACCACTTCCCGATCACCGATGCCTTGACTTTCTATTTGTGCCTTTCTTTTTTTCCTTCAAAACTTTCCAGTCTCTTTTATAGTGTGAACCACTTCACACCCAACATGAAACAAAAGTGTTTCCTTCTGCCTTATTCTTAAATTTGGAAGACTTGGTGATTTTTCCTGACTTTCCCTTCCCTTTCTGGTTCCTACTTGATCTGCTTTCATCAAGTACGTTAATGACAGATCATGGAGTCACGATGACCTTTGCACTACCAGCATTTTTGCTTTCCTGCAATATGATCCCCTCCTCAATCCCAAGGACCAAGGTCAATGCCCAAATGTTCTATACTATGGTAAGTTCTTCCCTTTTGTGCTTCAAGATATGTTATACATCTGGCAACTTGTCAATGATATACAAGCAATATAATGGCAATGGAATCATCCATATTCATGTTGTGCTGCCTTATCTGCCTAAGTATATCCTGACAATCTCATGAAATTATTCCATGATTGGACGATTGTCCACCATTTTATTATTTTCTACCGCATCCTCGATCAGACATATACTTTGTCCCAAGTACGTCTCAAAGATCCTTTGAGGACTCCTCATAGTAATAAACATCAAAGAGGGTGTGAGACATACCGTTCAGAATGTCACCACGACTGACGAAGTCTTTGTTCTCTCATTTGAGTCTTCGGCCAGTTGCCTATAAGAGTCTCATCCTCTTGTTCCTCTAGCTTCGGGGTTCTGAGCATATATGTATATCACATTTATAGTTGCGAAGAATTGAACTTCATCTTCTTC